ACGAAATGAATTATCAAATGTCTTAAGCCACAAACTTCTGTTGCAACAGTTGACAAGTAATTTTTGTGAAATTTTTGTTGGTCCATTTGTTAGCTGTTTATTTATTTTTGCCAAAGCTAGTTTTAGCCATTTTGGCAGCAGAGCAGCGCCAAAATTGGAAAGGCAGCTGCTCATTTTGTTGTCCTTGTGCAATTGATTATAGGCCAAGACTATAAAAGGGTATATTGAACTGTGGCTGATCAAAAGGAAAGTTTGCTATGCTCAAAGCTTAAGCTGATTTTTTTTAGGAAAACGTTATTAAATTCAATACTAAATATTATATTCTTAAAACAACTATTACAGGCCATCTTTTAGTCACATTCTGACGACTTTGCTGGCTATTTTTAGAGATTGAGTAAGACACAGAAGCCAAAATGCGTCAATATTTTGCAGTTGGCTTGCAGGTTGTCAAGTCTATCGTCAGTTTAGACGGTTGGCAAGTCCGCCAGCTTAGTTGCAAAAGCCCGCCCGCATTTGGTCAAGTGCGTTAAATTGGAGCGTTCACAAGTTGCCACATCTTTTGGGGCTGTGGCTTGAGAAGTAACCAAAAACACACACGCACAAAAACGCAAACGTTTGCTTTATTTATTTTACTTGCGCTTTTGTTTCTTTTTTTTCGCCACGCAGTTACGTAAATTTTCTACAAATTGTTTTGCTATTGTCGTTGATTTGTCAAGATGTCCAATTTAACTATGACAGTGTCTCAAATAAATGCTAAAAAAAAAAACGCTCATTGAACACCTACAACTTAACCACAAAGACGCGCCCAGAGGCAAGACGACTATTTTTACAGCTATTTGTGATGCCTAATTTTTATTTTCTTTCTTTTTTCGGCTCAGCCAAAATAGAAACACGCAACAGAAATTCGCATTGAACGTGACTTGAGCTCAGCTTTTTTAGCCGTAGGACTTGAATATGTTTCGATTTTTATCAGCCACACAACTACAACAACATTTTCAGTCGCCAGACGCTTACTTAAAGCTGGCTTCTGTTGTTGTTGTTTTTTGGCTTTGGCCTGGCGCCCATTGTCTGAATTTTTTGTTGCTTGACTGCTGGCTACCTGGGGCCGGGGCAAACAGTAAAAATCAAACAAAAAAAAAACCAAAAAACAAGTTTGCCAATCGCTTAACAGTTCCGTTTTCTGCTGACTCTAATGATTTCAATTTTCAGCGTTGTTGAAGCTTTAACTAAGCCTAGAAGTACCTCCAGCGACAGAGGCTACCGCTGCTGTTGGTCGGGTCAATAATGAGCTGGGCCATTTTAATCGAATTAGTAATTGATACTCGAAATTAATAGAACTAACAAAGAAAAAAAAACATGACTTGAGCTCTTTACTACGAATATGACGTAATTCACGAAATGACAATTAAATCGTTAAAATTTTGGAAAGAATAGAAGAAGTATATCCCATTAATGGAAAAAAATAAAAACTATCTTTTGCCACTTAAACTAAATTAGTCCGAGTTGCAATATTTAAAAAATTTTCAATTCAATATAAGCAAAAATGACTTCATCTCACAGATACGCTTTACACAGATTTAAGATAATTTTTCAAAACATTCACGGGACAAAAAGTCTGGAAATTTTTAAGAATTATTTTAAATGGATATTCATAAATTCTCCACATTTTATATTTTCATTGAATAATAACGTAAACATTGACTTTTCTTGAATTCAAAATGTAGTGTGCTTAACTATGTTCGCTCTAAAAGTTATCGAAATAATCAGTTTTCTGCAAAGCCAAGCGACCTGGTTCAAAAGTCATGACTACATGCACTAGTTTTTTACTGTTTTTTTCTGTTTGAATTTTTTTTTGTGATTTTTTGCTTGTCAGTCGACCACACCCACGCCCCGTTTGGCTTGGATTTGAAAGTGTTTTGGCGAACGTTTATACAATTACGAATAACATTGTTGGGCCAGACTTACCCACGCAAAGGCTGTTTGTATTACAACTGAATTGTTTTTCATCATTGAGGTAAAAGACTGCATTTAAGTCGACTGGGAATTGGACACGTTACAGCATTGGCTGCGCAGAATCTAGCCAGACTACTTTTCATTTAAGAGCAAACACCACAACTGGCGTTTAATATAATCCAACTTCAGCTGGGTGACTCACATACGCCAATACAAAAATGTGTTGCCGCGCCCTTTAGCAAAGTGAATAAATGACAAAAAACACAATAACTGCAAAAAAATCAGATTTGCATAATTAGAGAGGGAGTGAGAGAGAGGAACTGGTAGCTGGTAGTTCAAGATCTTGAGTAATGCTGTCGCTGTTAGCGAGAGAGCACTGTTAAGTAGCAAGTTTGTTGCCTAAGTCTTTCGTTTTGACTTCCGTTAGCTGCTCGTTACTTCAACTGTAAATCAATATTGATTGCCAAAAAAATGTAAAAAAAAGACCCAAACGGAATTTAGCATTGTAAGTTCTGCGGCAGGTTGACAGGTTGAACGAACTTTTTTGGCTGTTGCGTTTTCTTTGCGTGTTCTTCAAGCTCTTCGTAAGCTGTGGCAACATAAGACAAGGTGATTATAAATCAATTATGAAGTTCGTGAACCCACTAAGCAGTCAATCATGTTTTTTGTTTCGGTAAGCAGTGCGTCATCATTTTTTTTTATAGAGATTACTCAATGGAAATGGATCACATGTGAATAATAAGTGTGGTCAGTTTTCCCATCAATGATGCCACAAATGTTGCACCACAACACACTCCTCAAGTATCACAAGCAATGAAGTAATATGCCAAAAAAGCAGAGTACAACATTGAAGCGCTGCAAACAAAATAAAATAATAACATACACAAAACCGACAAAAACGAAAGAAAAATAATATATTTTTCGACGCATTTTTGTGGGGCCGCGTTTTGTCTCAAGGTCACTTGAGCAGCTCGCGTTGTGGTTGTTATATAAACAAGTTAAGTTCATTATGGCCAAGAAGTGCCGTATGAAATGTGCGAGCATATCAAAACTGGTCTCAGCCAGCAACTGGCTTTTGTTGCCTTTTAATTATTGAAATCATTTTTATTTTTTTGTCTGATTGTTGCTTTTCAACTGCGTTGGCGCTCGTTAGCCATAATTCCAATGTGGTAGCTACCCACATGAGAGTGAAAGAACTATGAGCGCATATGGGATTCTATTAGCTCAGTTTGCCCGCAATTATTCACAACAATAGGTGTTATAGACAACACACAGTTTCATGAAAATATTTTGAGAGTTAACAACCACAAATTAACCAATTAATATGCAATGCATCAAACCAAAAGGCGGCCTAAAAAAATACAGATTTTCATTCATTTCTCAATGTTGATGATGCAAGTTTTTCAACTCCAGCTCTAACTCCCTGTGAACCTCTCTCAATATCTCCATCTCTCTTCTTCTCAGCCAGCTGTCAATCAATCAACTTTTCTAATTGCTTCTTTAAACGCCAACACAGCAACAATAACAACAACAACAGACCAAATGAAACGCAGAGTCATAATTATGGCTAAGGCCTTTCCGTTGGAAGTGCTAAAAGTTTAGACAAGCTTTTTGTGTGTGCGTGTGTGGCTCCTCAGCCAGCAATTGTAGCCAATATTTAACAACAGCCTTAGCCGTAATGCTGGTCTCACCCATGATTAATGTTATTCAAGATACTATACGTACGCAAACTCTTTTGAAATACTTGCCAGTCAATTAGCAATAGATTCTAGCACTTAAGCGTCATGTGGGCTGCAACAAGTAAATGTAAATGCTTTAAATATGATTTTTCTTGTCTGAAATCTAGGCATGTTAATGTCTATGCACGCCTACTCGTTAGCGAACTTAATAATAATATGAGCTTCATCTTAAGCTATAAAAGTCTTTCTTTCCTTTTTGTAAGTAGTTAATGTTTCTGAAGAATACTAAATAAACAATCAGTCAAAAAACAATGAAAAAATATTAAAAATACAGATAAATAATCAGTCAACTAAATCAAAGGATAAAAATATTAAAAATATAAATTTGGGAAGTATTTGTAAATATACAGAATTTTTTAATAATATTTTCATTTCTCGAAAAAAATTAATAACAATTCTTTTCTGTAAACAAACTAACGACCTGAGTAAATAATCTCGGCCAGTCAAGAATTTTCTTCTCAAACATTTCTACTCACAATTGGTTGCAACTTAAATGTGTGATATTCGTCATCTAATGGTTTTTCTCAGTAATGAGTATTTTCCTTGTGTTAACTAAGAATGCAACGTTTTCAAATTTGAAAATTTTCTCAGTTTTTCCGGTGACGCTGACACATTAAAATTAAACATGCCGGACATGCAACAGGCGGCAAGCGGATGTCCGTGACGTGGCTATTACAGTGTGTACATAATATATAATATATATGGGTACATTTATAGCTGCGTGGTTGTGGCGTGCCCCATCGAGGCATGCCGCGTCATGCAAGCTAATAAGACCAGTCGCATTGTCGCATCTCCATGTTTGTGGAGATGATGTAACTATATGGCTAAAACAGCGAACTTGGCAGCATGTGACAGCCAATTTCGGACGCGCTCTAACCTTGAGAAACAGGTTCAATGCACAGATCACAAAACTCTTAAGGAGAGGAAAATCGCAACTTAACTAAAAACATTATTGCATTATATTGAATTTTGCGTAAAAAAAAAACGTTTCTTGATATATATGTGTGTACGTCTACGAATATGTGCGAGAGCGAACCTTACTTAAGTGAAGGCAGAGCGAACCGGTTTCAATGATGAGGAACGCCTCAGACGATTTATGAAGTCATCTTTTGTGGCTTTGCGCTGACTTAGCTTGCAATTTTGCTCGGCTAAACATCAAAAAATAAAATAAATAAAAAATAAAACCCAGCGCCATATTGAATCTGTTGACTATATGTATCTTGTCCGAATGGACACCAAATGTACAATTATGCACAATAGTATCGGTCTCTAACTCTAGCGGTTCATTTGGCCAAAAATGAAACTTACCTTTTGACAACGGTCGCCCCGTTTTATTGTTTTGCGTAATCCAATTAGTTATGTGGTCTTTGTTTTGTAAGTGTTATATATATTAATTTTCTTGATTAACTTTTTGTTTGCAAACTTTATGTTGGTGCCGAATATGTGGAAAGACTTTTGTTTTAAACTTTTTACAATTTATCATGCTCCATGTAGGTGTTAATTTTCTTTCACAGGCGCATAATTTGTGTTTTTTCTCTATTTCTTTTTGCTTTTGCAATTTATTTTGTCTGGTCAGGTCAAATTTGTATTAATTTAGTTTTGCTAACTTCCTCTTCGTTTGGCGTTCACTCGTTTTACATATATGTGTGCAGGCTGTTGAAAATAAAGCGAAATTGCGATAAACAATAGCTGACGAACAAAAAACTGCAAACACTCGAAAGAGCGCAGAGCGTCTTAAGAGCTTAAAAACTCCGACAAAAATGAGACGGGGAGAGAGACAGAGAGAGAGAGAGACAGAGACAATATATATGATTGCTCTTTTGCGTATGGGAATATATACGGGTTGGTTTTCTGGTTGGTTTTTGGCCAAAACAACAAAAGACTTAGGCAACAAACTTGCGGTCAATTTACACAAGTACGATTATTTTTTATTTCCAAGATATCGTGATGAAGACACAAAATTAGCTTTTAGTCAAGCCACCCGCTGCGCAATCAACAACTTGATGGCCCGCCAAGGGCAACAACAATCAAAAGCAAACAGCAAATAAACTGACAAACAATGCAACAATTTCTATCCAAAAATATTTCTCTTTAGCAGCGTCACAAATGCGCTTGCACGAAACAGCCAAGAACCAAATTAGAACCAATTCATGGTGTCGATTCACTCTCTAAATTATAATAAGAAACACGTACATCGCTCGTTTTTTACAATAACTGCGATCCGACAACAACAAAAAACGGCGACGACGACGATGACAACAACTTGAAAATTAACGCGCAACGCGACGCGACGAAAACGCGCTTGTTATTTGCTGTGGATGTGTCTCGCACACCGACCTGGCCAAGACTGAAGCACACAGACGCTACACTCTCAAGTCAAGACCCACAGCAGGCAGCTCAGCAACCGGTCTGGCCAAGTTTTCGGAGTCGCAGTCGGAGTAATTGGCAAAGTCAGCTCTTATTGGCGGCGCCGCTCTTTTCTTAACGCGTTGTAGTCTGTTGTTGACTGTCTGTTGCCTGTTTTTTTATCTGCAACTGCAACAGGCCCACACCGGTTGCACTTGTGCCCCCGTATGCCACGCTCCGCTGGCGCTCCCTTCTCACCTCTCGGTCAAAGATTTTGTTTTGTTTTTCTTTCTAATGAGTGCGCGACTGGCACATAATTAGAGCTGCTGCCTCTCATAAATACATACATAGATCCCTTTGGGGACCGAATCACGATACGCTTGGCCAATGCAGCTAACTAAGCCGTACTCTCCGCATTCACTCAGAGATCCGTCAAGTTCAGCTCAAAGCTTGGCGATGTGCTAAGTGCCGTCTAGAGAGCAGCAAACAGATTTGGTGTGTGGGCTGTCACCAGAATACCTTGATGACGGCATATACGGCATATTTACCTACATACATGTACACAGAAACATAATCAAGATACCAGCTCTTGAAACATTGAGTTTCATTTGATTTGAAATTCTCACAATCACATAACAAAGAACATACTTGATTTAATCATGATTTTTTCAAACCAAGAACTCTGAGCTTTAGACTAAATTAGGTTATAATTCGACTAAATATAATCATTTGTTATTTCCTACTGACTGAAAATTATAAGACTATTTGTTATGTATTATTTATGATTAACTTAAGAACTTTACACTTATTTTATAAATTGTACTATGCTTTCAAGGAAAAATATAGTGTTTCAGTTGAGTCGGATTTCTCCCAAGCATATCACAAATATACATAATTTAAGCATAAATAAGAAGTAAATATTTACTATTCCCTCATTTTATAAATGAAATGTGTACTAAACATACGACTCTTTAATATATATTATTTATAATTGTCTTTTTAAATTTGTAGTTTTTTTTAGTTTTTTTTTTTAAATTATATACAGTCTTAAAAATGTCTCTATTCAAAAATATAATAGAAAACCTAATTTATACATGTCATATTTTTTTCCTGTGTATTGTGTACATATACAGATATTTACAACAATGAGTTTGTTAAAGATAAATCTTGGACTTGCATTTACATTTTACATTAACTACAACACAGGTAGGTAGGCATACAAAGAACCTTTACGTTTACTTTTGCTGTTGCCTGTTAGCCTTCTTCGAGGTCAGCGTTTGTTGGCGTTTCCTATTAACTTGAACGGGTCTATTTATATTTTTAGTTATATACCAATATTTATGATTATTATGCGTGCTTCTCCCGCTCATCTGCTCAATGTCAAAAACATCGTGCTGGAATGTTCAGACCATTAGTACGTGATTCCAAATGCATAGGAATTAAACTACTTTGCTTTAACCGTCAAATCTATACCATGAATAAATTAAAAATCCCTCTCAGAATTTTTATATCAATAATTTTGACAGAATTTGATCATAAAGTCAAAAGCTTTAGACAGAAAATATCAACAGATCAAAACATGCACAAAACGGTATCGGTGGTTTTTTGAAGTAAATAATAAGCTAAAAAACAATACAAATTTTATGTTTGCCGTTTCAAGAATTTAATAAGCTGAATCACCAGTCCCGTAGCCAAGCTAGATAGACATTTAAGTGGGCGGAAATTCGCTTGGCAACGATTCAATTACAATTACATCACAAAATTCTGAAGAGCTTCAACGTCTACATAGAAGCCAGTCAGGAGAAACCCACGCTATGCGTTGATCTTTTGCGTGAATTTGGCAAAATACACACAAAAGCCATACACACACACACGCATAGAAAGAGGAACGCCCACACTTCGAGCCAAGTTCATAAAGCCAAGCTGACAGGTTCATAAATTCACAAGTCGTTGGCCTTAAAATACAATAGCAACAGTCATAATAAAAACAAAAAATGAAACAAAACGAAACAAAACAAAAACAACCCCAGCGGAAAGGACTGACATGTCCTTCGTCTCGGGGTACAGGTAGCCAATGGTTACTGTAACACCTACTACATGTTTATTTATGTACTTCTTTTATTTCGGCCGGGTGATCCAAATCAAAGCAACATTGTGTGAATTTCGTTTAAATTAAGGCAAGCTCCGAGCGGAGAAGCCAATCAAATAATTATTTAGTAAAAATTTCTTGTTGAAAAAAGTGTTTGTCAGACGAAAAGCGCTTTAGCTAGTTGAACGTTAAGGCAACTCACATAAATTTAACGGCAACATGACCGAGATCTTGTCGCGTGAAAAGGAACTCTTCCAAATAAACCAGGAGCTCAACCTGATGTCATTAAGTGCATCCGCCGAGGATGGCAATCCTGTGGCCAACCAATCTCGCTACGGCACCTATCTCAAGCAGAAAGGTCCCAGCACACTACTAAAAAAGAAGCTCAATGTCGAGGCGCTCACCAACAACAACAGTAACAACAACAACAGGGCAACGGGACGAGGCCAGAGGGTGAACAGAGCGCCGAAATCGCCTAATAAAATTAGTGGACCAATATCAACTCCAACGACGCCCAGTGCCTCTCCACCGCTAACAACTCCTCGTGGCAAATCCGCCTGGACACCGCTAACTAAGTCAAAGATGGCCAAGGCGCCGCAGTGCAAACTGGGAGTCAGTGCACCAATCGCCAATCGAATGGATGGCACATTCACACGCCGGGCAAGCCATAGAACGGCCACCTATGTTAAGTATCGCAATCCGAATTTTAAGCAGAGTCCATCATTGGATCTGCTCCTACGTCATAGCGATGACGCCGATGCGCATAAGCCAGTGATGGAGCTGGAGGTGCAACAGACACGCGAGAGCACAACGGTGGTCAATGGGCAGGCCAAGAAGCAGCTAACACAGGATAACTTCATTAGGTGACTAAGCAATAGCTAACTCACTGTCACATTCCATAATGAATCATTCTCGATTCCATAGATTTCTCAAAGCCAAGGTCGCCATTTTGGAGGAGGATCATGGCCAGCTCACGCTTGACATGGCCAATCAAAAGGAGCGACTGGAGGAGACACTCGAGTTGTTGCGCAAGGCGGAAAATCAACGGGATCAGGCCATCAACTCGAATGCCAAGCTCACAGACCAGCTGCATCGCTTTGAGCTGCAGGCGGAGGACTCGAATCGCTGCCAAAAGGACCAACAACTGGAGCAAAACAAACAGAAGCAAGAACTGGAGCTTCTCAGACGCGATGCAAAAGTACTCAAGCAGACCAATGCGAATCTGGAGAAGCGATTATTACGCGCCAATGACGAGGCAGAGGCGGCACGCCAGTTGCTGGGACAACAGGCGGGACAGCAGCGCGACGAGCTGGATCACAATCACAAGGAGCTCAAGTTGCGTGACAATCGCATCAAGGCACTGAAACGCCAGCGCGCCGATCTCTTGAATGCCTACAAGAAGCAACTGTTTCTGATTGACAATCTGAAGCGTCAGAATAGCTGTGTGGAGCAGGCGGTGGCCATCGGATTTGGGGAAAAGGAGTTCAACAAGGTGCTCGAATGGAATACGGCCAGCAAGCCAGTATATTAAACAAATTTAATATTAATTTCGGACCTCGTGCTTGTACTCAATTAAAAATATATATGTAGTGTATCAATTAAACGCTAGGACACGCTAAAATGCCCACAAGCAATTTTCTTTTCAATTACCTCGCATCTAACTCAATTAGCCAGGCAAGCACGAGAAGCAGCAGCAGCAGCAGCATCAGGATATTGGGGTTGCAACCGCAGCGTGACTATAAAAGCTCTAGTACTTCCATTCACAAATCACACTCACTTCAACGCTCTCTCGACAGCAGCAGGACCTCAAGCAAACAGCCAACTCCAACGCACACTGTCCACACCGAATAAGGATTGCAAAATGGCCGCACTGAGATGTACTCTAACTTTGCTGTTGGTCACCATTATTGTGGCTGCCATCTTGCTGCATGGCAGCGAGGCGGCCTACAGGAAGCCACCATTCAATGGCAGCATCTTTGGCAAGCGCAATGCCTTGGGTAAGTTCAAACAATATTGTGTTATGACTGATAAGCTAAGTTCATATCCATATAGACTACGATAATGCCAAGGCAATGGGCGCTGCTTGCGAGGTGGCCGTGGAGGCGTGTCAGAGCTGGTTTCCACAGAACGACAGCAAATAGGAGCAAGCCTTGAGAGCGCATATTTTGGGACTGATCTTAAATTTACGCATCATGAAGCACACTAGCTCTAGTAGTCCTAGTTCTAGATGCTGCAACTGCCTAATCACAACCACCGACTAAATCCAACAAAAACAAGAACAACAACATTAAGCATGTATAAAATGTATTAGTTAAGTCGTCCATATACATAAACTTACAAAACTTATATAGAATATACAAATACTCAATAAACTTACGAGCAATGCACATGATAATTAATGCTTTCGAAAAACTTCTTTATAGTTAACAGACACATTCTTGAGATAAAATTACACATATATAATTAAATTAGCTTTACGTTTAATTGAATACAGTTTAAATATGCTGGATGAGCTTCATATATACGATGTAATTATCGTACTTTGTACAAAAGAGATGCAGAATCAACGCCGACGACGCTTTCGCAGCTCATTTATATGCTTACGCAGGTATTTCATATAATCGACCATGGTCGAGGTGAGTGCCTGCAAAGTAAGTAGAGGATTACCAAAGAAATGCAAATATATATTCGTCACACTTACAGCATCCAATACGTAGCGCGGTATATAGCCCTTCAGATCGAGACATAGCACCCACTCCAGTATACAGCAATCAGACTTGCCAATAATCTCTCGAAACGCAAATCCCGAGACAATATTCTCTCCTCTGTCAAAGCATAGTATATTCACAATTAATATTTATTTATTTTAATTGTATTATTTTAACACACCTTGTATATTTTGTGGTGATTGGAACGGCTCCATATTCCACACTAATCGCAGCACTCATCCACACTTTATTGTTAGTCTTTCCAACCGAACCTTCTGGCAAATGCTGTGTACTTTTCTCTGAGGTCCGCTGCGCATCATCAATGTTATCCTTGGCATCCTCGAACGCATCATCCAATGGCGGTGGCTCAACATTAAAAGATAATGCAGCGCCCAAACCCTTGGCGCCCAGACTTTTGCTTAGTGTGTCGTAAGGTGTCGTTGGAGCGGTTGCTGATGCACCATCCGCTGGAGGCAACGAAGAGTGACCGAGAAAGTAACTGCCGGCTTTTGGTGTCTGCGATTCATTGTCCGACAATGTCGTCACACTGCCCTCACACGATCGGTTTAGAGAATTATCGTCTTCATCATCGCTGCTCAACTTGGCAGCTTCATCTTCATCACAGATTTTGCCATTATAAATTAAACGGCACGAACGCAAATTGACAAAATCGCGACTTTTCACCATACCACCACCACCACCAACGGAAACTTGGTAGGTTATATCAGTGTAGGAGTTGATTTTCTAATATGGTACAGGTAGCATATAAGAACAGTCATAATTTAGTTTGTTTTTAATACATTGATTGAATTATATTAAGTAAGTGCTTCAAGGTGTCATAAATGAATGTAGTCTGGCAATAAATGTCAAAAGCTTTTTAGCAGAGTTTTTATAAATAGTTTAAAACACTTTTTTCTATTGAGGAACTTGACTGTCTTGACTTACGCGCACTATTTTCGACTCCAAGAGCGTTGGAGTCCACTTGGGCGCATCCTCGATGCGATAAAACAGCTCCTCCATTAGTGCCTTGGCGGGATATTTAAGACGCCCCTAAAACCAATCCAACAATCATTTAAAATCAGCTTAATGAAGTAAAACCGTTTACGAACCGTCAATTTGTAAATCTTGCCGGTTTTATCCCTCTGTGTACTGTGTATTGTGTCGCCCTTGGGTGTTACCTTCTCCATCTTCCAGTCAGTTGACTCAATGAGCTCATATGCTTTGAGCAGGCAATCCAAGCCCATTTGGTTGTACTCCTCGTCCTGCCGGACAAAATATATAAAATATAAGTTTGCAACAGTAAAATGGCGAATTAACAACTACCAACAACATTGTAAATGTACCTAAGCAACTGATTGACAGCATCTTTTATAGACGCGTCAAAGTGAAATTCTTTTATTCAAGGTATTTTAGATATGCGCATGCATAAACAGTTAGCTTACCTCTTCACCCTCCTCATCCGACTGATGTGCCGTGTCCAAGGGTGAATAGAAATCTGTAACGCTTTGGGGTGGACGTTCACGTTCAGACAAGATCGTTGGCTGTGTCAATGTTGTGCGATCATTTGTGTTTGCCGCTGTGTACGCAAAAATCAAATATTTTAATAACCACATATAAATTTAAGGTGCGAGAAAACTTACCTAAGAAATAACGACGCGCATGTCGCTCCTGGGGTATAACCCGGCAGTCTAAGAACCAAGCCTCGCCCCAGGCCAGTATAAATGACATTAGGATGATTATAACATCGAATACTTGCTGCTTGGAGTGAACCCACTAAATATATAAAATGAAAACAATATTATTAAGAGTTATTTGATCATTCTACAGGCACTTACGTCATAGAAAAACACTTTGGTGATGAGAAACAAACATGATCCACTTGTAGACAGCTGGAAGGAGTTAGTCACATTTAAAGCTATTTTAAAATCAACGCAGAGTCGCTTACCGCAATAATGGACCAGTGATTTATATACAGCATGGCATAAAAGAAGATTAAAATTATAAAACGGCAAATTGCCGTGGCAACAATATCAAAGAGTGATGTATAAATGGTATAATGCATGATTTGTTTCTGGAAGGCCTGGAATATATTGTCGCCACCGATCTGTGAAACAAAACAAGAAAATTAGCATTTATCTTGGGCACGCAAACAACTAGCGGTATACATACAACTATGCAAATGAGCCAAAGCAGCGATACAAACACCAAATCGAATGTGACAAACAGACAGAAGAACCGTCGCACCACCGACATGCGCCCATCCTGCGCATAGCCACCGAGAAACTCCTCAGTAAGCCAATTTATGGAATGCGGTTGCGCTGTGTGTATATTTAAAGTAAACAAAATATTAAAATCAGCAATAATGATGGAAGTGCATCTACTTACACATACTGTATGGCATGTGCATGTGTGGATTAGCACCATGCCGGGCATTCGTGATCAGCAGCTGAGCGGTGCTGCGCACGTCGTCTGAATCCGTCTGGGACATGGCGGAGAGTCGTGGCTCAAAGGCTTAGTTCATTTTACCAACAAAAAAAATATTAACTGCAAATCAAATACAATACATGCCAATTATCTGTTATATATACATCTCAATTAATTTTATCAGCGAACAAAGCAAGTGCGACGATAAGCTTGCCCGAACCCAATGTTATATATAATATGGTATATATATATACAATTCGGCATTTGGCATGACTAACGCAATAGCGAGGAAGAAGTTCCTCAACGTACGTTTCCGTTTGCATTATGTTTATGCTGATAAGAAACTAATTGAATATATGAATGTATACAATACGTATATATGCACTATGTATACATTATAAGAATCACTTGACACAGTTTAATCCACACGTTGCAGATTTATTTAGATTAGAGCGCAGTCATTCATGGATTTCTGATAAGCTTCAACTCTTTTTCTTTGTTTTTCAATAATAAACAAATTTGTGGCAAATTCATCGCTTGAGTAAACACATAAAGAAGTTGCTCCAATTCACTTAATTACCTTAGCACACTCTATGCACATGCAGTTTTTACGGTTTTTTACGGACTTCTTCAAAATATTATTATCAATACAGCACCATACAAACGATTAGTTAATTACTAATTTGTTAGGAATTAGTTCGAGCAACGGGATTATCCGGGGAGACACTGTGGTGGAAAAAATGCATAAACAGCTGATTAATGTGACCATGCTGCAAGCGATGTGAAAATACCAAAGATAATCACTTAACTGGTATCATTGTCTGCAGATAGATGGCGCAAATCAATAAATGTTCAAAATAGATTATAAAAAATCAAACCGTATATTTTCGCTACATTTTGCTTAATTACTTAAATGTATGGATATAATCTTAATATCATCATAAGGTTTGTCTGTTTTGGGATTTGCCTTAGCATTGCATATATTGAGAACGACTTCCATGCCACGGTACACGCGACCAAACACCGTGTGCTTATTGTCCAGCCAGGGCTGTAAATAATAAATTATAAGTTTAATATAATTAATATGAATCTACAAAAATTAGATAATGAGATCTTACTGTAGGCAACACTGTAATGAAGAATTGACTACCATTTGTATTGGGACCGGCATTGGCCATGCTCACAGTATAAGGACGATCATGCTTCAGGCTTGGCACAAACTCATCCTTAAAATCATTACCCCAGATGGACTTTCCACCAGTACCCGTGCCCGTCGGATCGCCAGTTTGCACCATAAATCCCTTGATCACACGATGGAATATGTGTCCATTGTAATAGCTAAAATAAAGGTTATTATATTTAATGTATGCATATATGTATAATAGATTTATCAGATTCAAAATTTTACCCATTTTTGGCATGAACACAAAAGTTTTCCACAGATTTAGGCACCTCCTTGAAGAACAGTTTCATATGAATGTCACCTTTAGTGGTGTGGAGCACCACATTTTCATAGATGCGTTGAATAACTAAAAAGGATTTACAAAAACTCATAGAGATTATACTGAATAAGGATAAACAAATAAAGGAAACCTTCATCTGATCAAATGTTAGCGTGTAAAAGATAATACACATTTGTTAGCCAAGATTAAGACAACAATTATGTTTACGACAGGTAAATACCTTGAGCCTCGGGCACTGCGATAATATCTTCCTTCGATGGCTTCTCATTGAATATGTCACGATCGACATCCTGCAGATCCGATGGAAGACGCCTACTATATATATAAAAACGATTCTTTCTGTTGGAAGAAAAGAGAATGGTTTAAACCCAATGATTAAATTAATTTAATAATAATTCCTCTCACTTGTAAGCCGTGCAGAAGGCTGTCGGATCATTGAGTAGATTTTGCAATGCTGGATTTTCACTGGCCTCCTGCTCCAGCGTAATTGCTGCCTTTTGTCGCTTGATTCTGCCCTGAAACAGGGCTATTTGTAATGGGCGAATATTATCGGTTTTACCCAAAATGGTGACACAGCGATTTGTGGCCACATTAATCACTTTAATGCCCAACATTGTGGGATAGAGCAGAAAATGGCCAGTGCTATCGAACAGTATGTTGAGCGTCGTATTTTGTGCCGTCTTCTCCAAATCACGCTCAGCAGCCATTCTACGGCCAAACTCCATATTGGGCAACGCATGCGGTGTCTGCTGCATTTGTGTGTATGTGGTGAGTGCTTCATCAAATACCCGCAATAGTTTCCCCGTATTAAACTGGAAAACGCGCACTTTACGATCCATCGAAATAGCGGCAAAACGTTTGCCATCCGGCGTTGCTGCTAAACCAGTTACCAACGTCTTATTCTTAGCAAATTCAAAAAGACCTGCAAGAAGACCTAATTTCAACTTATGTTTAACATTAATTTTAGTCAAGCGATTTACTCGTGTCCAATTTAGATTCAAAATTGACCAAACGCTGTGGGAATTTATAGTCATGTTTGGAATTCTGCCAATACTCCAGAATGCCATTGCGATCTACTGAAATTACCGTCTCCATGGCCACATTAAAGCACATTGAAACTACTGGAGCTGAATGCAATTTGTCCAATGTGTGCAAGACTTCGCCACCACTCTGGCCATCATAAATATGGATGCAGTTGCTCTCCGAGTCAGTGCTGCGAATATATATTAACATAAATATATGTGTATCAGGACTACTCGAAACAGACTTACATTGCCAGACCCTGTACTGCATCACCGGGTGAGTTTATCCACTCGCTACACAGCGGCGTGTAGCCCAAACGTATAATATTAATCATATCAAAGTTGACCACATCGAAAACCTTTGCTGTTTCATCGGTTGCTGCTGAGCATAATAGAGTGCCGCTGCTGTTGGTTGAGAGCGATTTTATGGGCACCAAATGGCTGCGAAAATGTTTCACAAAATCAATGCCCAGATCCATTTTTTTCCAAAACTTGATGTGGCCATCTATGCTGGCGGTGATCACAAATTCTGTTTTTGTGCTCACTAAATGCGTGATGACGTCGCGGTGCATGTAACTGCGCTCATAGCTTTCCGCATTAGGGAGATTCTCCAGAAAGATGTGCTCATACGCCAAAACTGTACAAGAACAACAATAGCTTGAGTATCATAATTTAAATTGGATTGTTGGTTGTTTACCTTTCTTTTTTTTTGCCGGCACTGCGGCACTTTGCTCCGATGGCAGCGGTCCAATCCAGCCATTATCTTCACTCTCTGCCTCCGCTTCCTGTGCATCATCGTGTTCGGATTCAGCCGCGTCCTCCGTTGCACTGCGCTTTAAGTCTTCTTTATTATTTTCCTCGCTCATTTTCTTCCAATATACGTAATAAACAAACCCAAACAAACAAAACGTGAGCCAAAAGTGCAGTTAATAGATTTTACAGCACAGTTGTGGGCACTCTAAGAGTTTAACAGTTTCCTGTTACTAACAGTGCGCGCCAATTTTTGCAATAGCTTTCAGTTTTTAATCATTGATTTAGTTAAAGCAGCTTTGTGCGAAATATTTATAGTATCGATTAAAATAATTTTAATTTCTCTGGACACAGTTTAGATTTCGAGAAACACACGAAATTATATAGAACAGAGGTTAGCTGAAAGAGCCATTGCAGAACATCTGTTGTTTAACACTACCTATCGATTACTTCACGCTGTTATCAAAATTCTCAAACAGCTGTCCGACATCGTTGTGAATTGTTAATCTGCGCTGTCGCAATTCACACAAATTGAAAACATAACAAGCCACAGATTTAAAACAAACTAAAATCTGTATATATACCGGAATTGTAAATAAAGTATGCAAAAGACCAGTGAAGAAGATAAGACGCATACCAGCCAGATTGCGTCCAAGCCAAGAAAGGATGTGGACGACGGTGGTGGCGGCGTCGGATCCGTCAATCGCATCGTTGTTAACGCAGTGCTTGGAGCAACCGAGACACGCATACGAATCAATAAATGGCGCGTACGCGAGGGCCAAAATGTTTCGGCGGCGCAAATTCTGTTCTTGTACCAGCAGCTCGGTGACGATGGCAAGCCTGTCAAGATGGATGATACCGCTGTCCTAAAATATAAATCAAATCTAGCTGGTGTGGTTAAAAAGCGACTGCGAAAGGAAGGCGAAACAGTGATAAAAGGGTGAGATTTTTTTTCCTCTGCTTCTTCTTGTGTTTGTGTTTGTATGCGAATCGAATCGAAAAGCGGGTTGGCGCGGTCGGTCGGGCAGGCGGGCGTGGGGCAGTGGGTGGAATGCAATTATGCACACACCGCAGCAGCCCCACCAGATGAACGTATACATAAAATGTGAGCTGAGCTTTTCGTGTTGTTGATTTTCTTGTTCTCTCTGCCGCGCAGGGATGCGCTTTTAGAGTTATCCGAATGCATACACACAACGGTTATCAAGGACATGTGCGCAGATTGCGGCGCGGATTTACGGCAGAACGATAATGTAAGTGCAACAACACATCAAAAATAAATATGAAGTTTGAATTAATTGGAATTTTTTAAATAAATTTTTTATTTTGAATATAGGGACAAACATCGGAGGCCTCAGTGCCGATGGTGCACACCATGCCCGACTTGAAAGTTACTCAGAAGCTGGCCCAAAAACTGGGACACGATGACACGCGCCGCCTGCTCGCCGATCGCAAGCTCGTCCTGTTGGTGGATCTCGATCAGACCGTCATACACACAACCAACGACACGGTACCGGACAACATCAAAGGCATCTATCACTTTCAGCTGTACGGCCCACAATCGCCCTGGTATCATACGCGCCTGCGACCGGGCACCGCTGAGTTCCTCGAGCGCATGTCTCAGCTGTATGAGCTGCATATTTGTACATTTGGTGCTCGCAACTATGCACACATGATTGCACAACTCCTCGATCCGGATGGAAAGTTCTTCTCTCATCGAATCCTGTCGCGCGACGAGTGTTTCAATGCCACCAGTAAGACGGATAACCTCAAGTAAGTGCTTGCCATACTTCAGATGGTTTTTAGACTATCGCACATTAAGTAGCCATTTCCGTTTCGACAAAACATATTTTTTTATCTTGTGCAGAACGGCGGACCTAATCTTTATAGTCACGTCCCGCTATCTAATTGCTTAGATCCAAATGGTATCTGTTTTACATAATATAGTTTGCCGAATCTCATAACTTAATATATCTAATAACTCATATACTATCTAACAGCAAATAATACAATTAATATATATATGCGAGAGTACTTAACCAGAATATAAATTATTTTTATTTTTACTAATACGCTTGAATATTTTTATTTTCGCATAGAGCGCTTTTTCCGAATGGTGATTCCATGGTTTGCATTATCGATGATCGTGAAGATGTTTGGAGTATGGCCTCCAACTTGATACAAGTGAAGCCGTATCACTTCTTTCAGCACACCGGCGACATAAATGCGCCACCAGGCCTGTCTAAACACGAGCTAGATGGAGAAGGTGTTGATTTCAAGGGTGAGCAGCTCTCCTCATTTGTCACAAGCACAATTTACAACATCAATTATTTTCCACTTGTAGAAATTGATAAAATAACAGAAAAAAAATTGGAGGGCGATAAGCCAGCGTCGAGTACGGATAAGGAGTCTGAGAAAAGTGAAGACACCGATGCCGACAAGGGCGACAATACAGTTTCAAGCACAAGTAAAGATGAGGAGGAGTCTGTGGATGTATCTGTGCTGGAAGGCGATGCAAAAGATGCGGAGGCAAGCACGACTACCGCCACTATAACCACAGAATCAAAAGACTCCTGTGTAAATAATGTTGATAAGCTGAATGGCAAAGCGCCAGCCGAAGAGGTCATGGTTGTGGACAAGAATTCATCGGGTTCGCCGGAACCAGAAGCATCGAGTAGCGGCAAACAAGACAGCGACTGCGATGATATTGTTGTTATTGATGATGTGCCCCCCTCGGAAAGCTCAAACAACACCGAGAAATTGCAGCTGGCCAAAAAAGAGGATGACGAAAGCATCGCGTCGTCCACGAGTGGCGAGGATAAGCCGGGACCAGACCAGTCCAACAATGAAATGGAAAAAAGATTAAGCGCTGATGATGATGTGGCCACCACTTCACAAAGCACATGTCCAAATGTCAAAATCTCTAGCGATGGGCAGAAACAAATCGAAATCGAGGATCCCGATGATTATTTGCTATATCTGGAGGTGATTTTGCGCAACATACATAAGCGCTTCTATGCGATTTACGATGAGACTACAGAAATACCCGATTTGAAAATTGTTGTGCCGAAAATCCGCAGCGAAGTTTTGCGTGGACAGAATCTAGTCTTTTCCGGTTTGGTGCCGACCCAAATGAAAATGGAACAGTCGCGTGCCTATTTCATAGCCAAGAGCCTGGGCGCCGAGGTTAAATCGAACATTAACAAGGATATCACACATCTGGTGGCCGTCAATGCCGGCACGTACAAAGTCAACGCCGCCAAAAAGGAGGCAAACATTCGAGTGGTCAATGCCAATTGGCTGTGGGCATGCGCGGAACGCTGGGAGCATGTTGATGAGCGTCTATATCCGCTGGATCGCAAGGTGCGCAACAAAGGCCGTCAGCCGCCGGCACATTGCCACAGTCCGGAGCATGTGGTCAACTACAATGAGAGATCAGAGATTTCGCCATCGAGCAGCATGCAACAGGAGCAGGGTGGGAATTTTCGTGAAACACTAAATCCGCTTCTGGTTTTCACCAATGCAGACATTGAGTCCATGAACAAAGACTACGACACCTTCTTCGAGTCGGAGTCATCGTCCAGTGACGAGGGTCCTGTTAATTTTGGTAACTAAATAACGACATGTTAAACATAAATTCGCATTTAATTTTTGGTTGCTTTTAGAAAATCCTCCCATGGACAAAAAATTGTTGAAGCGGAAACGTGAGGATGAAAGCTCAAATCGTGCCCACGATTTCTTTACACGCAATGAGGATATCATGTTAAGTGCGCCCGGCACCATTGCCGATTTCGACAAGAGCTCCAACGAGGGCGATGAGAATGATGACGAGGAGGAGAACGACGAAGATGATGACGAAATACCAAGTGCCAAATTCCGACGAGGTAAGCTTTCGTTGTATAATTATCATTTTATATCCCTTATTAATCCATTGCGTTTGCAGGCGAGGAGTTGCCATCGGATTTGGAAATGGGATCCGATTCGAATAGCGAAAACAATCAGGAGGATGAGGATGATGGCGAATGGAACATGATGGGCGCTGCCTTGGAGCGTGAATTCCTTGGACTAGAAGAGGACTAGTCATTCGAACTTGATCTGGACATGTGAATCAATGACCGACTGGTGGCCGCTTGGCCTCGCCGTAGAAGACTCGATGCTGGAGAGCAAAGTTAGACATTTCAAATGTACTTACTCTTCATGAACACAGAAAAACAAACAGCAAAAACAACAACAACAACAAAATATATGTAATATCGTAAATTATGCAGCAAGCGAAGCAATAATTCGTAATTTTACATATGTATGTAGAAAGTTGATCTTAACGCTTGTAAAAAACGAGTACGAGATTTTATATAAGAATCAGATGCGCACTGTATGTATTAGTAGTTAATATGTATCTACTTTTAAAACACACACACACACCAACACTAAACTAATTTAAGTGATTTTGCGCATTCATTTGCATACACACCACACACACACACACACCAACGCATACATACATCCCACACATACATACATGATCTGTGCGTCCTGTGAAAAAAAAAAGCTGAAACTGCAGCTGCAGCTGCTCCCATCTTTCTCAGGCGCATCGTTTGAGTTGGCAAACCATTTAAAATGTAAAATCAAAAATATCTCTCATTGTAAGTAAATGTAAATGTTTTAAAAATAAATTCCGTTGAAGCGGACTAGTAACTAGTGTTTAATTTAATATTAACACAAGTCGAGTTGTTTAATATTCACTCTATGTGTGTGCGTGTGGATTTGAAAGCAAAAAGATACAGCTTAAAGAAATTTGTTTGTACATATATTCATGATTTCATTTTTATACACAAATAAATAAATGTACATATCTCACACAAAGTAATCTCCATTACTGGCTATGTCTTGCTCAGCGAACGCTGTTCCTTGAAGCGGCTAACGCGCTTCTTTGGCGTATGTGCATCAATGTATTTGCCCGCAGGCAGCGGCTCCGGTGCCGTTGTCGGCTCCTTCTCGACCAGATCATGCATGACCTTCTGATAGGCGCTCATGTCTCGCAACTCATCATCGATGGTGCGTTCCTTTTTCTTTCGGTTTTTGTTCCTTTTATTGGAGGACCGCTTGCTGTTGCCCGGCAGATTTGGAGTTGGCTCATCTGGTTCTATAGCAGCATGAGTTTCAGCTTCCACAGCGGACTTGTTGCGCAATATGGATTTGGATTCCGGCTTGGAAAACTATAAACAAGAAATTGTCAATTAATTTGATGGTAGAAGAAGATAATCACGACCCCTAAAAGGTAATATCCATTTATATATATATATATTTGATCATATCGCTCACGCACATTTCAAACTGTTTCCGTCCTGGTTACATGCTTATTTTTATTTATTTATTTTATTATATTTACTCACCTCAGCTCGTGGATCAACGTAGGCCCTCTCGCGCTCCTCCTCCTTTAGTATGGGCACCTTTAGCCCCTCTTCACCCTCAAAACTGTTGACATAAATGGGAAACGAATTCCCTGCCTGCTCCTCAGCCAATGCCAACTTGTAAAGCTGATAAAAGTGTGATGGATTGCCGGGAATTGAGTTCTTATCGAAATCCTCAGGTGCTGCGTTCGCTTCGGAATGATTGAAATTAATTTGCAGTGTAGCGATTCGACCCGTGGAGGCTTCCAGTATTTGATTGACCAAGTCAAAGTCCTGCACACTTTGATTTTCCTTGACAAATTCCAGATTTTTCTCCACTTTTTGCATAATTTGTGGACTCTTGTTGACTACGGCTGGCTCAACTTTGCTGACTTGCTGCTGGTTCAATGGCTGCACTGGTGCATCCAGAGAAATCACTTCACGTTTGTGTTGCTTGCCCTTGGGCAACATTTCGGCAACTGATTCGTTCTTTCTGAAAACCAGCTGCTCATCGGTTTTGGCAAATGAGATGCGTCGCTTTTTATTATCAATGGGTTCGGTGAGTGATTCAGTGTCTTCGGACTGCTCCTCGGAGCTGGCATCCTCGGTGTGCTCGAACAACAACTCCTGCAGATCATCCTCCAGAATGACGGTCACATTCATCAAATGTGTCAGCTCATCACTGATAAAGCTTTTCTTTTGCACCTGACGCATTTTTGCCTTTATAATTTGCAATTGCGTGTTTATAAATTGCACGCGCTCCTCCCTCGGTAAAAGCGCCACTTGCTCTCTAATTAATTTGACTTCCTCTGGCTGATCGGATTCCTCCTCCTCATCCCCATTATCCACTTCATCTTCATCACTGATTTCTATGTCTTCCTCTTTTTGATCGACATCTTGAACCACTTTCGGAACTTTTTCATCATTCAATTCTGTGTTTAAGTCACTTGGCTTCTCCACGCTACTTTTCTCCTTGCCTATGCGTTCCTTTGTGCTCTTAACTGCTGTTTGAGTCTTCATTAGATTGTGCACCATTTCTTGAGTGCCTTGCAGATTTTGCTCCGCCTCTGTGTCCATTTGGGTTATCTCATTCTGTTCCTGCAATTCTAGTTTGTCGAGCATCTCAAATAGTTGCTCATCCGTCATATCAGCCGCTGTTTCTTTATCACAGTCTTTGTTTTTGAGTTGATCTTGATCTGATTCTGGTTTGTTATTGAGCATCTCGCTGAGCGTCTGCTCGTTGAGATCGTTGGGATCGAGACCCAGTTCCTCCATTAGTTCGCGTTCCTCCAATGTTTTTAATAAATCACCTCCGTCTGTGGCGCGTGCCTCACGTTCTTTACGTTCCTCTTGTTTCTCCTTTCGCAAGCGCTCTTTGTGCTCCTTGAGCCATTTGTTGTGTTCCTCCTCATTGTACTCTTCCACGACTTCAACTTCACCAGCATTGGGCACAGCGCCCTCCACTATTGGTGTTGCCAATTTCTTTCTGTAATAAATAAATTTCTATTAAAATGCAAATACTTTAAACATGCGCACTTTACTTACTGCCAGAGATCTGCTTCGGTTTGCAATTTCTTTAGGTGCTCATTGGCCTGTTGCAGCCGATGCTGACATATCTCCGTGGCCTTGTGGGCCGAGCAGGCGGAGAAGTAGCTCTGATAGTGGCCCACCAGCAGTTCGTTTGTGTGTATCAGTTCCCCCGGCATGAGTGCCTTCCTGCCAATTGGCACCATAACCTCGACGGTGAGATTTTTGCAAAACATCTCGAGATTCCGCATTGCGGCCTCAATGTCTTCCTTATAGGCTTGCCAACGATCTGTCTCATAGGCGTTCTTATCGAGTGCCTAAAAATTAACTCCGTGTTTCGTAAACACTCAATGGACTGTTTAAATTATTTAGCCTACCTGCCTGAGCACATCCTCGCGCCGCTCCATCGTTGTTTATTCTTCGAATGTGTCGATAACTTATTGCTTATCAATATACTTTCAGGCAGTGTGGCCAAATACCACAAAATACTAAACACCAGTGCTGCCACTACTACTGAACGTGTAGAATTGGGAATTCCAATATTAAGCGGTTCGCAATTCTCTTATTTAGTTCATGGTAAAGATAATATACAACATAAGTGGACACCATTCCAATCTTGTTGCTAATAACTGTCTGCATAGATAGTCAATTTAATCAGCGACAATATGGTCCAAATAGATAAGATATGACCAACAATTATGCTAATTAAGTTCTTATCACACAACCCACTCACTTTATTTGCACTAGTTAAATGATTTTGTGATAAGCAATTAGAAATAATCAACAGTACAAGTACAAATAGTTTGAATTGCAATTAGATTGTTTTGCACTTTATTCAGAATTGTTTACTTTATACACAAGCTCACTCGATAAAACTTAAAAAAGAAAGAAAACAAAAACGGCATGTAGGTGGCAGATGTTAACGAAACGTTTCAAACGTTTTAGATGCAACAGCGTTAATTTATAGGGCCTAATTATACATAGAATACATACATTTAAGCTACTTTCACATAAAAGAGTTCATTTTCTGTGTACATTGATTTTTTTTTTTGTTTTCATTTGATTTTGTTTACAATGGGCTCGCGAGCTACAACCGATTCAATTAATTACATACATACAGAAAGCATTGCTTAGCAATTAATCGTTGTTGTTCATGATTGGTGTTCTTGTTTATTTCTGTTGCGCATGCTTGGCTGCTGCGTTGGGCCCATTGTTTAGGCCTGCACTGCCAAGTGTGGGAAACTTCTTTGTTAGCATATGCGATTCCTGATGGCTGGCAACATCGCTGGGCGCAACGACTTGCTTGCAACAGCTGCACACCTCCAAGCGGGGCACCGAAACGAGCAGTGCGGGCGACAGTGAGTTCACATATTGCTTATGCACGAGATACAGTTCCTAAAAATAGCAAAAATAACAATTGTAACATATACAAGATTTAATATATATAATTTGGTTTGCGATGAATGAACCTGTTGTTTGCCAATGTCCGGCAGCATCACTAAGAGTTCCGGAAACAGGATGTGAAAATTGCTCGCCATCGCAGATTTGCAGTGATCGTAGTAAGCTTGGCCGGAACAGGTGCCTTCCCGAAATCGGGAGGAGAGTAAACGAAATTCTGTGAAAGCCTCGGGTGTTTTAAGCATCTCGCGCAGCTGATCCACCAAGCTCTACAAAAAGAATGCAAATTTAATTAGAAAAATCGATTAACTAATATTTGTTGTGGCTCACTTGATTTCTGTTGGTGGTGTCTGGAGGATCCGTGTAGCTACAGGCAGTGGGCACAATACTGTAATTTTCGCCCATCGAGCTAGTGAAAGTTAGATTATTGGGTAGCTTTGCTACCGAGTTGACGGTGACGTTGGACATGAAGCCAGGCGGTGGCTTAACCGTTGGTGCAGCGGCAGAGCTTAGACCAGGCGGTGCACGCAGAATGCTCGACAAATTGCCATTGGAGTTGGACAACTGCTGTTTATCATCGCTGCTGTTGATGTTGTTGTTATTATTATTATTCTTTGTATTATTGTTGTTCTTCTCCTTTTGCTTGTTGGCTTTGGGCTGAGTTTCCTGAATGGGTTTCTTATCTTTTGATTTCTTATCCTTCTTACTTGATGAATCCTGATTGTTACCGTTGTTCTTATTGCTGCTGGTGCTATTTAGGGCTTTGGTGCTGCCCATGGGACTGGGCAATAAGGGCGCTGGAGCCACTTTCGATTTGCGATTATCCAAATCCTTTTGCTTCTTCTCCGAGATGGGCTTGGACCAGTTTAGATTGCCACCATTAGGCTTAGCACCCAATGGAGCTGCTGCTCCCGTTACTGTTTTGGTGCTGCTCGGACCCAGCATGGGAAATTCGAGGGCCGTCAACTTGGGCGCACTCTTCTTGAGCGCCTCTATGCGCGCCTTAGCCTCGGACTCTTCTTTTTGTACCATTTGCAGCTTTTGATGGGTGCTCGGATGCGCCACTGAAACATAGTCATCCATCAGTGATCGATGCTTGGCTGCCATTATTGTCATGGGCACCGTCGAGTCACTCGGCAGCATGTCCTCGTCCAGATTGCGTGCCAGTTTCTTGCCTTTGCAGCCGCGCAACGCTGGAAAGTCCATGTCCGGTGTGGATTTCTTGCTTCCGCTGGCAGCACCAGCTCGCGATGCAGGTCGATTCGAGACATGCAACAACATACCATTCGCTGGTGCATTGGCACGTGCCACAACACCACCACCAGTAGCGCCAGCTGCAGCTGCAGCATGCGCTGACTTCTTGAAGGATGCCGCAGCAGGCTGTTGGAACTGAGCGGCTCGGGCGTTGGCATAGGCGCCACTAATTGTGGATATGCTGCCACCAGCCGCCGCGCCCAGAGCCGGAAAGTTCTCTTTGGTGCGTGCCAGACCCGAGGAGCCGCTTATGTTACGCATGGACGGCGGCGGTGCCCTGACCAGAGAAACATTCGGACCCGGCGTAATGCCTGCGAGCATGGGAAACTCCTCCTCGTTGCCTGCATCAATTGTCACCGGATTACTGCGCTGCGCGCTGCTCATGGGTAACTCATCCAAATAGTCCTGCTGATTATCCTCATTGCTGTGCGTGGGAAATCGATTGGGTTAAAAGCCATTTAAAATTTAATAATTCATAAAAAAGTAATTTTTGTGGTTGAGAGACAAACTTATTAAACTTATAAATATTTGTTATTTCTTCAATTAAAATTTAATATTAAATTTTACTTTTAGTTTCATTTAATCTATATTTACTTTTTGAGCCAACTGACTTTAGTTGTCGTTAAATAAATAAATAAATAATCTTTACAAAGTGTCTGTGCTGCTTCCATTTAAATTTATAAATATAAATCAAATTTACTTGGCAACTGCTCATAATTTCCCACTGCAATGATTTGATCAAAAAAGCAGTCGATTTTCAAAAGCAATTTCAAGATTAATACTCAAATCACATTAAAATATCTACATATACTAAAATCAAAGTTTCTATGTTTCTGATAAGTGCTAAAACTAAAAATAAGATATAAAATGAAATAAATTTGATCTTTGTATGCTAGTTTGATGTTTATTAATTAACGGCGGAAATAAATAAATCAAACTGGTTCTACGGGAATATGTGTATATTAAACAAACCTATCTTAGGCATCTGATGCTACAATTTGCAATGACTACTCACCGTGATCTCATGTTGGTCATGTTTTGTTCGTTTTGGCCGCGACGACCGCGTGGTCCCAGCGTAATCTCCAATTGCAGTGTGCGGGTCTGTTTCACCTGCTGCTTGTTGAGCGTCTTCCCATGGACACTGGCCACATGCGCTTTGTACTCAATCTCGTTGCGAAAGGCGCCCGTAAACTCCTCCGTGGCGCATTTGCCCTCCTCGCACAGAAAGTGCTCCTTCCGAAAGTGATCCGCCAAATCCGCGTAGACGCTGCAAACACAAATTAATCAGCTGGATTGGCCCAAAAGTTTATGCAATTAATGGTTTACTTGTAAAAATCATTGCCACCATCGGCATCGCAAAAGTGACAGAAGTAATGATTGCGTCGCAAATGACGAAAGAGTTCATCGCGATCCACGTATCGCTCATTGCAATACTCGCACAATGGATGCCCACGATGCGATGTGTTGTCCGGATCACCCTTGGCATTGTGGATGACCAGTTCCGCTTGTGTGTAGCAGCGTCGCTCGAACGTGAAGATCTTCAGCGTTTCCACGCACAGATCGCAGAAGTACATGTGATGCTCGCGCCGGACATGATCGCGCAGTGCATCAAAGGTGCGATATGGAGGCGCATCGCAGCTATAGATTAATAACTAATTAAAAAACAACTCCAACACAGTGCAAAAGCGAAACTCACATGGGACATGGATGATTGAGTAGCTCATAGAATTTCTGTTGGATTTCAGCGCTGCAGAAGCCAATGCGATATTTTTTACTATAGAAATCGCAGCGATTGTTCGCCTCCAGTTCCCGGTACGGCAGCTTCTCCAGCGTAAACAAAACCTGTAACATGATAGTCGATAGATAGCTGATATATGTTATAGTCTCAATTAGACGAGATATATAAACAATTATCACCTTGGAGAGAACATGGCGACAAATGGGGCACTCGTTTTGCTGGCAAAGCACCCTCATGCGTGTGGAGCACTCGTAGCAAACGGGATGATCGCAATCCCCAATCGAGTAAATATCAAAGTTTTTGAAGCAAACGACGCAAGCGTTATCATCGTTGACCGCTTGATTGGCAGCGTTGGCCTCGTGGTTTACTTTCGTGCTGGATTCATTCGACTTGGCATTGACTGTTGGAGGGGCCCCAGCTGGCCGACGATGTGGCCTATACGATGAGCCTCTCGATCTTGAGTTCTGCATGACGGATACGGAGGGAAGACAATTTCTACTTGTTGCCAAGGGCAGCTGCAGCAAATTTTGTTGTTGCTGTTGATTTCGTTGCACGTTGCAGCACTGTATGCTGTGTGTATTGGATGATTGGTAGTACTTCGCAGCAACTTAACTCTGCACTTGCGTTTTTAAATATGCCAAGTTACAATTTTTATCAGAAAACCCAAAGCGACGACTTCTAATTTCTCTGAATTTTGTCAGCGTGGAGAATGATACAACTAGTACTATTCGATTACCAGCTCAATGCAATCGATTTTTGTATGTTGTTATCGCACACAAATACGGTCTCACTGTGGTGAAATACCATTTAATATGTATAAATGCATATTGTAAATAGATTTTTGATTTAAAATAATATTGATGTTTCTTTTTTTCAAAAATAACTAGCTGACAAAAATAACTTACAGCTTCAATCAATAAATTCCAGCTTAGCCAAATTTGTTATAATTGCAGTATTTTTTCTTAGAGATTTTTTAGCTAGTAAGTCTGGCAACGCTAGCGCAGCAGAATGTTGGCTGAAATTACAAGGAGTGCAAATACTGCTTTCTCACGTGTATTGAGTAGGCGATTGTCCCGGCCGATTAACGCAGCGTCAGCAAAAACAGTTGCAACCAGTTATAGACAGATACAACAACAGAGTTTACGGACAACTAATTTAGACATGCCGCTGTACGAAACCGTTGCGAAAGGCGCCAAGAACTCGTCCAACTACAGCCTCTATTTCAGTAAGTATGCTAATTAATCAATCAAATGAATGATCAATGATTGTTATCCTTAAATAAGGGAGAGTTTCTCGCAAATAAAATATTGATTTAGACAATTATGCAACAAGTTCAACAAGTGTGATTAATTAAAAAACGCAGCTTTATCAGCAAATTTTACATTCGCCGGCAGGGCTAGCATTTAATATATATGTATGTGTGTGTCGCGTGTTTTTGTATGTGTGTGTCTGACACTGGGCAAGGTGATTCAGTCGGAAGCCGAATGTGGACTTTAGTTGCTGATTATATCAATATCTATATCTATAAACGTCATATATACTCTTTAAACTGTTTGCTTTAATTAAAGTTAGACTCTCACTTATTTTTTCAAATGCAATTAATCAAATTGGTTGCGTGTTAAGTTAATTAAAACGCTTCATAATTTCTGGTGTCTAGAAAACAACTGCGGCAATGTCATTTCACCAATGCACGACATTCCACTGTTCGCCAACAAGGAGAAGACCGTCTACAACATGGTCGTCGAGGTGCCACGTTGGACAAACGCCAAAATGGAGGTAAAATTGAATCAATCAATTTATCAATTATCAGTAAATTATCCTTCATTTTTAATTTTGATAAAACACCCAATTGCGTGCGTATTAGATTAGTCTGAAGACACCGATGAATCCCATTAAGCAGGACATTAAGAAGGGCAAGCTGCGGTATGTGGCCAATTGTTTCCCCCACAAAGGTTACATTTGGAATTATGGCGCAATGCCGCAAACCTGGGAGAATCCCAGTCACATTGAACCATCGACGGGCTGCAAGGGCGACAATGATCCCATCGATGTCATCGAGATTGGCTATCGTGTAGCCAAACGTGGCGATGTGATGCAGGTCAAGGTGCTGGGCACCATTGCGCTGATTGATGAGGGTGAAACCGATTGGAAGATCATTGCCATCGATGTGAACGATCCGCTGGCATCGAAGGTCAACGATGTCTCCGATGTGGATCAATATTTTCCGGGTCTGTTGCGTGCCACAGTCGAGTGGTTCAAGGTAAGTACCACAAATTGTTATATTTGCTATATTTATTTTATATATATTTATATTGCACAGATCTACAAGATACCCGATGGCAAGCCGGAGAATCAATTTGCGTTCAATGGCGATGCGAAGAGCGCGGAATTTGCCACCTCGATCATTGCGGAGACGCACAAATTCTGGCAATCGCTGATCAATCAGACCAATGTGGCAACGCCGGCAATCGCTTGGTTTGTTCTCAAATCCCTATTGGATATATATAAATATAATATTGTCTAATATGCTTCTCCATTTGACTTGTAGCCAGAATCTTACCAATGCCAACTCGGAATACGTTGTGGGCAAAGATGTGGCTGCCAAATTTCTGAATGATGCCCCCGATGGTGGCGAGGTCGAGGAAGTAGTCGACACAGGTAAGGTTTTCTATGTTTCCGCTAAGCTTTGAAAAGAACACGCCACCAACAGAAACAAGCTGCACACAAATTGTATACACAATTCTAAACCCGCATGCTACACTAACCAATAACCAAAATCCAAAAAATTACCAAACCCAAAGCACAATTTGTAAACCTGCTGTGAATAATGCTTAGTCACTAAACTAGTACAAGAATACACTTTTTTTAATTGGCTTTCTTTCTGCTTTCTGTTTAGTTAATTGTTGTTTATAGTTCAAATAAATGTTTATGATGCCATTTAAAATCTGTTTAAATCTCTTTGTTTTACAGTCGACACTTGGCACTTCATCCATCTGAAGTGAGTTGAATGATTGATTGATTGATCGATTGATGAATATCAATATACATGTGAAATCTATATAATGATGATATATATAAAAATAAAAATAAAGTAATCTTTCAGCAGCTGGAAAAATGTGAAATGAAATCCGATTTGCCTCCACTTGAAATATACAGTTTTTATTTATATTTTACGACTAGATCCAAACAAGTTTAAATTAATATGGGTACATATTATATAATATCGAAATATGCTGTGGGCTGGTTATCTATGTATGTGTGTGTGTGTGTGTAGATTTTTTTTTGTTTGTTTATCTTTTTTCGGTTAGAATTAGAACGTAAACGTAACAAAGTAACTTAATTTCTTAAAGGATACACAAAAAATGTACAAAATATATTCATATGTGTTGGGTATATATATAGATATATACCTCTTGTATGTATGCAAAGAAAAAAAAAACTAAAAATTATAATTATTTACATCAGACATTTTTTGAATTGTTTCGTTTTTTTTTGTTTTCTTTTATTTTAGCTCTGTTTTTCCTTCTTTGTCCTTTGCTTGAACTAAAAATTAACATACATACATACATCATTATTCATATCGAGTTGAAAACTAAACTTAAATTGAAGATGGGGGGTGGGTGGTTCGAGGGAGTTGTGGGAGGAGGGGGTGGGGCCCTTAACGACGAAAAACAATTGTACAAAATGTCTATAAAAGAATAATAACGAAAAGTGTGCGCGAAAAAAACATATTTGTTGCTGATTACGTTTTATTATATATATGTTTATGTGTATGTTGTATGTAGTAGTAGTAGTAGTAGTAGTTTATATGGATATTATTATTATTTTTTTATAATTTCCTTTCTTTCACTTAATCATAAAAGTATTATGCGAATTTGTCGCTGTGATAATTTTCTTGTGTGTGTGCCTTTTGTATGTATGTGTGTGTATATAATATATATAATTGTATATATGTTGCATATATATATATATGTATAAGTTGTATATAAGTAGTACTCGTATTATGCGTTTTTTTTTTTGCTATAGCTCTTTGCTCCTTCGCCTTCTCGTCGTTCGTTTTGCCCGTCCGTTCGTCCGTCCGTGTTTACTTGCGTCCCAGGGTATCGCGATATTCATTGTACTTGTCCATCTCCTCGTGCAGCTGCAGTGCCTCGACGCAGGCGTTGAAGAACACCGATCCGAAGCAGTCTTGCCTGTTTATTGGGGAGGGGGTGAAAAACACTTGCATTAGAACATCATCTCAAAAGTATCGAAAAGTATCGATTTTAGGCTTTGCTCTTTCACACAAAATAAAAAACGTGTGTGGAGCGCCAAAATGCAAAAAAATTGATTTGTGCCTATTCAAAATTTGGTTGTGTTTCGTCAGCCAAGTGCATTGCACAAAATACAGTCAAAAATTGCACTTGACAGTAAAACATGGCAAAAAACAAAATTAATAAATATGAAATGAAAAACTTGAACTGAAAACGTACCACAAAATAAAAACGGTAAGCGCGCGTTTTTAGTCGCGTCGAAGACGCGCCAAACATCGTTGACAGCTGGCTGGCCGCACTTGTTGCTTTCACTCTCTCTCTCTCTCTCTTTCTGTGTTTTTCTGTCTGTGTGCTTTGCGCTTGTTGTGTTGTGTTGCTCTCTTTGTCACTCTCTCTCTCTCCCTGGTCAGTGTCGCATTCTAATTTCATTTATCACAATTTTGGATGCCCTCAAATAGCCAGCGATTGTTCATTTATTTTACATACAATATTCATAATTGTATTCATTGTTCATTTTTTTTTTGTTTTTTTTTGCTACATTTTTAATGCATTCTTTTTTTTAATTCAGTTTTTTTTTTTGTTATTTTACCAAAGGGGTTTTTATTTTGCTTGTGTTTTGCACAAATTGCGTTCTAGACTAAAATATTTGTATGTACTCGTGGGTATATAATTTGTTTTCTCTTTTTGCCAACAAATTTTACGCTAATTACGGTTTAATTCTTTACAAAATAGCACAAAAATGTAATACATATGCAAAATACTTTCGGTCTTGTTTGTGGGTGCGATTGAGTGTGTGTTTAGGTGTGTATTTAGGTGTGTGTGTGTCTTGTGTGTGTGCATCTGTGAGAATGTATTTTTTGTGGTATTTTTTTTTCCTTTTTTTTCATGCCCTTTGATGTATGTAAAAATGTAAATGCTGCTTGGAATACGCGGTACTTTTTTTTGTTTTGTTTTGTTTTCTTTCTTTTTGCTTCTTTGTTTTACATACAATACAATACAAAAAAAAATTATACATTAAATAAGTATATTAAAAACAATGTATCTTTTATTTTACATAGATAACGCAATAATAAACAAGCTAAGAATACTTAGAAATAAATACTTCTTCGGCTTCGGGGTCTGTCTGTTTGTCTGTTCGTCGATACTAACTGGGAAGAAATCCCCCAAACCGATTTATAGATATATACCCCTTATATATGTGTGTATGTGTGTGTGTGTGTTGTTTCACTGTTCCCAAGTGTGTGTGCGTGTGTGCGTGTGTTTGTGTGTGTGTGTGTGTTAACCCCCCGTGTTTGCCTTTGCCCGTTGCCCTCGCTTAGAACAAACGCATAACGTTTCAATAAATAAATTAAAATAATTCGTTTTTAAAAAAACACATAGTATAGTTAATAACTGTAAAGCATATACAGTAATAAATAAGTACGAATTAAATTTGGGCGTTAAATATTTAATTTGTTCTCTTCTGCTTGTTGTAGTTGCTATTGTTGTTGTGTTTGTTGCTGTTCAGATTCTTCAGGTGTGTGTGTTTATCCACTTTTCTCTTGAATTTCTCTCAGTGTGTGTGGGTGTGTGTTGGGTGTGTGTAGGTGTGTGTGTTGTTGGTGATGTTCGTTGGTGTTTTGGTAACCCAAGCAAGCACTTTTAGAGTTATGTAACCGGCGCCATGTTGAATGATATGGGCGAGCCATTTACTACTTTTATGAAATGCTGTAAATTCGATATTTCTTCTGTGGGTGTTAATAGCACTTTAACGCATTCGCCAAACCATTTGGAATCAAAGCAGTCTTTCCTAGAAAAACAACAAACGACACACAAAAAGAAAACGAAAATCATACAAGAAATCAAGATCTCAATCAAAAATAATCATGAAAACTAATATATATATATGTAAATCAAATGAAGATAGATAGATAGAGATTAATATATAGAGTTTAGATGGTGTGTTTAGTATTTGAAAACGACTTGTGGCTTGTGAAAGGGATAGGGTGAGCCATTGATAACTTTGAGATAATGCTGCAGTTGGACAATCTCTTCATCATCGATGAGCAGCACTTTAAGGCATTCTCCGAAGGTTTGATGGGCGAAACAATTAGCCCTGCAGCAAATAGATAAGAAGAATATACGGCTAGCATACATAGATAAGATAGATAACAGCTAGATAAAAGTCAACTCAACAAAATACTCAGAAGTAACCAAAAATAAAAAGAAACAGACTGAAAATAGCTAGATTTCTTTGTGTTTTTTTTTTAAGAGAAATATTTGTTAAATGTGTCAGATATGTGTGTAGCTTATAATAAATATGCGGAAAGTTTCCTTAGTTTTCTTTATAACCATGTCAGGGTCAGATATCAAACATGACCATGGGAAAAAGAATTCTCTTCTCTTTTTTCTTTGTTTTTTTTTTTGTGCGCCACAATTTGCGACTTTTTTGACACCTTGAACTGTTGTCTAATTGGGTCTGTGGACCCTCTGATGAGGTTGAGGACGCAATTGGGAAATGGAGATAGAAGTGGAAAGGGGGCGGGGTGTGGGGTGTCTCTGGGTGTGTGGGAAAATAGGTTGTCTCAATTTGCTTGCTAGACAAATTTCGACTGATTAGTGTTGACGGCGTGTTGGGTTTTGCGTGTATTTTAGTACTTTTAGTTATAGCAACTTACTTGCATAGTCGATGTATACTCGTCTCGCGGAACAATTGATAGCAATCCTCACAGATGCGGTCCAGGCGGAAGAACATGGTCTTGTTGAAGATGCCCTTGCATTCCAGATCGAAGAAATTACTGCGTTTCGATAGATTGTGATTGTGAGGCAACGCTGTGAATATGGGTATCAAGACAAGAAACAGCACCACCGAGATCTTTATGTTGCGGGAACACATCTGGAAAAGAACGAAAAAATAATACATTTTAAGGTCTTCTCGTAAGTAAAGTGAAAAAGAGAGACAGAGAGTATGTAAGAGTCAGTGTTGCCATAGCTAAATTCAATTTTATATTTTAGAAAAGGGAATTTAAGATTAGTATTATGATTAAAATATTATATAAAATTCTAATAAATTGTATAGTTTTTTTTGTAGTATTTCCTATTAAGAAGATGATCATCCACATATATTATAGATGTATTTTCAAATGAAATTAATATTCTGTTGTTTTCGCTCAGTGCATCGCTTATGCAGTGATATGATTATGCTTAGGTACCGGAAATAGTTTAAAAATAGCACAATTTACTATCTGGCTGGTCTATTTTTAGACCAGCCACCAGTCACCAGGTACAATTAAGTTCTACTTTAGTTGGCGCTGCGAAAACCGCTTACTGGGTAAGTGGATATGGGCCAAGCTGAACCTTGAAACCGCAACAGCAATGAAAAAAAAAATAAATAAAAAAAAGGCGCTGGTAGCAGCGGAGGCAGAAGTAGAGGCAGAGGCACAACGGGTGGTCGTCGGCCCAAGCAACAATCGCAGACTCGATCAAAAGGCGAAGTGCAGAGTTGTAGAGCGAGAGAGAGAGAGAGGGAGAAGGAGACAGTAACTCAAGGCAAAGTGCAAAGAGTACTTGTTAATCGTAAATCGTAAATTGTCTAGCATGGTCTAAAAATAGCGACTGTCTGCAACTGCAACTGCAAAGTGTGTGCTATAAATAAATTAAATGCATTTCATGTGTGTGTGTGTGTTGATCTTGTAGAACTATGTGTATGTTTGTCTGTGTGTGCATCTGCAGGCATCATCTGCATTCGGCATCTTCCTTCATAAAGGTGTTCTTTGAGTGCTAACAGCGGCAAGAGTTGTTTCGCATCTGCCTTCTATAAATAGATGCGGGCGCAATTTCAATGTTTATTGCATTATTTGCAAATCTGTCCGTCTGCCTACTTGGCTAATTTACGAGTCCAAGTACAAAACTTACAACTGGGCTCAAAGAGCGAGCCGCCTCGGCAAAGCAAAAGAAAAACAAAACGACAAATTTACACACATGAAAAAAAGCAAGAGCAGCAAACAAATAAATAAATATACATATACATTTACATATACACATATACACACACACACATGCATATATGTATATGTTTTGTGCTGCTTTTGTGTGCGTAGTCAGACAGGCCCCCAAAAAAATAATAATAACAATAACAACAAAACAATTCATTTAAACACAACTTGTATTTGCATATTTTTATCAATTTGCGTGGTTTCGTTTTCGGTTTCAATTACGTTCGGTTCGGCGTCGACATACATTCCTCAACTATTGAATAATTTGATTAAAATTGCAAATTTTTCCATTGCTCTTCTTCTTCAACATCTTCATTGCTGTATGTGCCAATTGTTTGTACTGTTACTTAAAAAAGCGGCGTGTGCGAAAATGTTCGCATCTGTGTGTGTTTGTGTGAAAAATGAATGAAAATTCAAAGCAGACACAGCGTCGCGTTTTCGAACAACAACAGCAACAAGCATGCAAGCAATTTGTCGAATTATTTCTTCGAATTTTCGACTTTGCGTCTTTTCTATTGAGCATCTCGCTGAGCACCTACTCCGCACCACCCCCGCTTATCTTTCAATCGTCGATCGTTTCGTGCCATATTTACACATACATATATATATATATATATATATATATATATATGTGTGTGTGTGTGTGTAGATTCTTAGTCAATGTGTTGGTGTTTATTTAAATTGATTTTTTATTGGCTTGTTGATGCTTTCAATTAAGTTGAGCGCATTTTTGTTGTCGTCGCTTTTTGATTTATGGCCAAATGGCATGTAGAAAATGTTGAAAAGTTCATCAATCAGTTTGCCAAATGTTGAACCAAAATTCAAATAAAGCTTTTTCTTTTTGTGTATTTATGTGTGTGTGTATTTTTTGGGTAGTATAATTAGCAGGTGCTGTGTGGCACGTGAGTGCCATCTAGCTAAAATACAAGTAAACAAAATGAATGTAATACAACATTCGAAAAGTATTAGTTTTATTTAAGTAGATGGCGCCACTTGAAATACATATATGTGTATACGCATGTGTACATATGATATGAACAGCAGCAGCTGCTGCTGCTGTTGCTGCCATCTCGCATTACCCACACGACGACCTCTGCGCAGCGGCGAGCGCTGCTTCACACTAATTGGATTCGAATTGCACGATTTATTGCCATCAAGCGAGAGTTCGAGAACGAGTTCGAGTTCGACTTCGAATGTGTGTGTGCGCCTCTGCATATTTATATTTAACACTTTTGCCGGCCGCATAAAATTGCATAATCGATATGATGGGCGTAAAGTAACAGAGTAGGCTTTAACCCGTAGCTGTAAATGTATACTCTCTTCTACTTCTGCTGTCGCTGTTGCTGCTGCTGATGGCGTCATCATTGACCACCAAGGAGCCAACGAACGCATACAGATTGTGTATAAGATCGATCGATCAATCGAGATCAATACAATTCACGATCGTCATCATCATCGTCATCGTCGAAAAGAGCTTGTGCTGGCAATTTGTTTGCATTGTGCTTTGATTAGCTGCCAATTGATTTCATTTGTTTGTCGGCCTGCCGCTTTGTATCAATTTAAATAACTGTCTGTTTGTCTGTCATGCATACAAGCGGTCGCATTATAAGCTAAATAAGCATGCCACTCCATTCAAATGTGAACGACTTGCTGGATACCACGTAATCGTATGCAAAAGTAGTCTTATATTAGCACTTATACAGTTATGGCTTTGGTACACGTTACCCAATTATTAAAAACTTTTAAGCTTCCGCACTCATTATTATATCCCCATCTTATTCACTTTTAATGTGTACATTATATATATATATAAATAGCTGATTCATAGGCGTAAGTCGCGCATGGCACAAAATGATGCGCCATGTTTCATGTCGACGTCGATTTGCCTAATTCAACTTTGATTTTGATTGCTTTTTACTTGTATGCGTGTGTGTGTGTGTGTGAGTATGCGTGTGCCTGCTGTCAAGCGACATTGAATGAAGTCATGAGCCAAAAATAATGACGGCAATTATAACGAATTTTTTAATTTTGTGCGCAATAGTTTCAAAGAATTTCACACCCCCAACAGAATATATTTATACATATATGTATATAAATATACATATGCACACACATAAATATATATTTAAGTCCAGCACTGTTAGCAGCACTGTTATCATGATGATGCTATCTCTGTTATTTGTTCGCTTTTTACTGCGGATTGACAAATGGTTGACAATGAAATTCCTGGAAACTGCGACCAAACAAACAAGCATGTCCATTGTAGTAGTATATCTACATACGGAGATATGTACAAAATTGCAAAAAAAAAATACAGAGAAACATCTATTTCTGCTATAAACAACTTTTAACGCTTGGCTACGCAAGCATGGCAAACCGAAGCTGCAAAAGCAACACATATTTTGTGCCGTTCGCAGCGCACACTGCTGTTAACATTGCTGTTAAGCGCGGCTTATGTTTTGTCATTTTTCATTTTGATGTTTGCTGCTGGCTTGTATCAATTTGATATCAGCCAAAACATAAATGTTAAGGCTAGACAAAATCATAGCAATATACATATACATCTCCTGTTAAGCTTGCTCCTGGAATATGTGAGGTGAACATAATTTTAACAGCCATTGTAGAAACTGCTTAAACAGCCCACTTGAGTTAGATGAAACTGCTAACGAGACTGCATGGTACCATGGCCACAAAGAAACATAATAATAACAACAACAGCAAAAACAATATGAGCAGCGACATGGCGAGACTGCTTGGTACCAAATTAACTGGCACAGTGATTGTTGCCAGTTGTTGTTGCCAGTTGCTGTTGTTGCTGGCCGTTGCGGCTGCGTTAAACGGTGCTGTTAATTTACTAGACATGTGGCATTTTGCATTTTTGGTTGCAACTGCAACTGGAACTGGACTCTCGCCACTTGTACCGCACGCGCACTTTTAATCTGCAATTTAATATGCATTAAATTCTATGGCATCAAATTAATAGCGCTGCAAGCAGAGCAGTGCAGCAGAGCAGTGCAGCAGAGCAGAGCAGCAAGCAGAGAGTCATTTGCAAAATGGCGGCAGGTGGTGTCGGCGTCTGTTTGTGAATGTTGACAGCACCGTGAATAGGATGAGCATATATACATTCACATATATTGCATCTACATGTGTGTGTTTGTGTGTGTCTGTGTGTATTAATTTCGCTCACTTTGACCAGCGCCTGCTGCTTTTGATGAGGCATTCTATGGCTTCCAGCAGCGCCGTCGCTGCGTCGTTCATAAAGTTGCATGGCGCGAGTCAATTGGCTGCTGTTGTTGTTTTTCTGATCTCTCAGATTAATCGTGTGTGCCTCGTGCGGCAATTAGTATTATTGAGATTAATAGTAGTTGCACGTTTCGTAATCGATTGTAAATATATCTGGCAACTCGAATCCAAATAGTTATGACACAGTTATTTGTTTTTCACTCTTGTTTATTTTTTTATTTATTTATTTTTTTTTTATGCACTTTTAAAATGTTGTTTTAACAATAACAACAATAACAGCAACAATAATAATGTAATAATATTTATAATGGGCGTATCTAGTGAACAAAAATCAACCGCGCGAGCAATCAACTTTGTTGGCAACACAAAATAAAACTGAAGATCGCAAAACTGCTGTTGACGTTTGCCAGCCTCGTCTCAGACAACAACAGACAAATGCTGCTGCTGTTGTTGATGTTGCTGCTGCTGCTGCTGCTGCTGCTGCTGCTGTTGTCTTTTTCTTATCAGCTCACACACACTTACATAAGCCATGGCATTTGTGAGAGGCAGCGACGACAGCGAGTCTGGCGCTGTTGAGGAGGCAAACGCAGCCAGCGTCAACCAACCGAACCTAAACGAACCGAACCGAACCGAACCCGTCAGCCAGCCAAGTTATGCA